AAATGAAGCTTGATACAGGGCGGGCTCTGTCCTATTTCATAGCAGGATTATCAGAGGCTACTTACAGAAGTAACGTTGTGGAAAACCTCAATGCTACTAAAAACATACAATGGACGTCCTCTCTCCCTGAGGTCTTATTAAAGTGAAGGTAACATAAATAAAGAACATACCCTGAACCTGTATGTTGTGGAGTGAAAGGATCCAGTACTAAATAATAGAGAATGACATGGATTCAACTGGACTGGCAGAGCATAAAAGCCCTTCATTTTTGTTGTTGTTATTATTGATTCTGATACAAAACAGATTAGCTGAACTTATGCCCAAGAAAGCTGATGTCTTTCACTGAATGTCTGCCTAAACCAGCTTTTAAGCACAAGTTTAGCAGGATTTCCTACCCCAGTGATGCCTATTAAAAACACCTATCCTACAATACAGCCACAGACATTGACTTGTGTCAGCACCACTGAGACTTGCGTCCTTGTTTCCACTACAAGTGACCCTAGCGTCACATAGCGGGAAGATATGGCTGACACAGCTAGGCCAGAAAGTACAGATTCTGCCTAGCTGCTGTTGTGATGCCAGTGCAATGGTCTTCCGAGAGAAGTTGTAAAACAACTCAAATTGAATTTGTAGCATGCTGGATTCTTAACCATAGTCAATTTGACAGTAGTGTGTTGGTGAGATTTTTTTTCCTCCCAATATTTTTTACATTAAAGAAGGAAGAAGTCCATAGCATGCAGGAATTGGGTAATCTCCCAGTCACCCGGGTTAATGGGTCTGATGAAAAGGGGAGCCAAGCAAGTTGCTGGGTAATGAGAAATGGGGAGGACTGCAGTGTGCTAACCTCATCAAGGGTGTTGAACATTGTGATTGGGTGAACCCTAGAGGATGGAAGGCTGGGTAAACCAATCGGAGGGGGGATAAGAGGAGGTCAGACTATCTCCCCCTTCCTGAGGGAAATGCGGGTGATCCCCCGACTGTCTTCCCCCAGCCTCAGGGGAGCATGGGAGATCCCCCAACTGTCTCCCCGCACCTGAGGGGAACGCGGGCGATCCCCCGACTGTCTCCTCCATGCCTGAGGGGAACGCGGGCGATGCCCCGACTGTCTCCCCCTGCCTGAGGGGAACGCGGGCGATGCCCCGACTGTCTCCCCCCGCCTGAGGGGAGCGTGGGTGATGCCCCGTCTGCCTCCCCTTGCCCGAGGGGAGCGCAGGTGATCCCCTAACTGTCTCCCTCTGCCCGATGTGTTGCCGCTTTTGCCCTCAAATTGCTTTGCCGAACTCTGGCAGACGCAACTGGCCTGGGAAATGCCGAGGAGCCTCCCTGTGCTGTGGGGACTTTTTCCACTGTGAATAACGCCTATTGCTGCCACAGAGAGGTTAGACCCCTGGGTGAATCGGCACTCTTATCACCTCACCACACTCCAGCAGCTTCAGGCCTACAACATCTCATCAGGGTACATGGGGTCCTCCACCTTATGCAGCCCAATAGCATTGAATAAACTGGACTCGTCAATCCCGGGCAATCCACCCTAGGGGTTTTGTTACTTGCGAGTTGTATAGCGTTACTGAAGTATCGACTCCAAGTCCATCTTTCCCTTCCCTTTATAGGCTTCCTGTATATTTCCCCTTCTAAATAACGTGTAAATTGATTGTTGGTTCATCCATTATGGAAGGTATGTATGGAGGCATCAGGCTAGTCCTGGGGGTAAGGACCGGGTCAGGGATAACTGAAACTGCATTGGGAGGTAGGGTAGGGTTCCTGGCTCCCTTCAACAGTCAGATGAGGGCAATACCAGCTAGTAGCTGAGAACCCAGGCGGTTGAAACCCACTGTGGCCAAAGCAGAGGGACATGGTAAGGGCTCCTGTTGATGATTAGCTGCCCTTAAGGACCAAGCAATTCATAAAATCCCATTACATCCCTTTAAGCGTTTTGTGAGCTGTCTGGTAGCTCACTATGTTCTATGGTTTAGAAGCTGCCAAGGACTAATCTAAGCAGTAGTGTAAATACGTAGCTAGGCCTTGCATGTCTGTGTAGTTACTACGCATGGTTATTTGGGACCTAGCTGTGCCCCTGTGACTTCTCCATATTGTGCTTGTTGTGTAAAGAGCAAAGGACAAAACAGAGGTTTTTCATTTCCCATTCAACTTTCCTCCTGTATT